TTGTCGTTAACTCTCAGACGAATTTAGACATCAGTCAAGTCACGTTTGACCGCTGGATCCGACCGTGGAACCGACGCACCACCGTACATTTCTCATACTCGCCTTTGCTTCTTTCGTCTGTTCTTCTTTTTTTCGCTTTACCGGAATGGTCTATTCACTTTAAATTGGTCGGAGTCCTTTAATGCCAAAATATTTGTGGTCCATTGGAGACAGTTTTGAGACATATTTGTTGAATTGCACAGTAGGACCGCGGCTTTACCTCAGAAACACAATGAGTCAGACTTATATTCAGATGAACCACGTCAAGTTATGAATCAGTGTTCACACTGTGTATGGGCGCGGTTGACAGCGAGCGTTGACAGGAGTCGATTGTCAGGGCCGGGATAACTTAAAAATAAAAATAAATCTGACAGTACATCTTATTGGAAGTTTAACTAATTTTTGTGTCGACATGTTTGCATGACAACAACACAAGCGTGCCTTTACCTCCTTTTTGTACCTAACCTATGGCTTTAATGTGAGGAAACTCGGAGTCACTTCCTGAATTCTAAGTCCGTTGATGAAATCGCCGTGGCGTTTGCTGCGCTAGAGCCGCAAGCCCGCTGTCTATACTCTCAGCTTGGCGGCCCGCGGGCCACAACCGGCCCCGAGGGAAAGAGGTGGCGCTATGAGGGGCCGCATGAGTGCGAGCAAGAGGTCCCACCCGTGCGGCCCGCCCGTCGTCTGTTTTCTGAGACCGCTGTCAACAGCCGAACGTAGTCTTTGAGGTCCATGACGCCTCAAATCTTACTTCAGATCAACAATGGGCCAGGCCCGGCTTAACCATTTGGCCACATTTATTTACAGTCTATAATATGAGATGGTTGACGAATGCGATATACAGAGGGGAGATGTACGCCAGACCACGTACGTCTCGCGTAACAGGCTTCGTGATATCTCACTAATCACTGATACGCTGCGAACGCGCCTGGCATTCATGTAACTTGGCCTGCGGCGCTGATAACCAAGTCGACAAGTGGAAAAGTATACACAAAGATATGGGATTCGTCTTTTCAGCTTCACCGGTATGCTTTATTGAAGCTGGAATAGAGTATTTCAGCCAGTTTTGGCGTCGAACCACACTCTTCTTTCGGCCCGAGGGTCCCTAGATTATTTACTATCACTTCACATTGATTTTCCATATCAATCTGTCAAATTTAGAACATTATGAATATCTATAGTCAATACAACATGAAATTTTATTTCCCTACTTGGGTATTTCACCCAGTTTTAACCGGATACAAGGAAGAACAGTAATGCTTCCCAAACTGCTTCCTCTTTGACACTCATTGGCTGACGAGGTCGAAGTTTTCGGACGCCACTGCAGTAGTCGCAAGCCTGGTGACGGGACCGCGAACTTCGTCTGCATGAGCCAATGAGCGTCATGGAGGAAACAGTTCAGGAAGCATTAGTGTTCTTCTTTGGATCCG